AGAGTTTACGCATGTAAGATGGCGGCGTCAGGACGACGGCTAAACAAACTGTACATATAAAATAAATGATTTTATGGAAATATTGTTTTGTATTTGCTTTCGTTTGAATTTAATACAGTTTGGAACGAGTGAAACAGAGCTTTAACTTTCAGAGCAATTTTGATCAATTCCTCTAGAAAAATTTACCTGTCACGGTTTGAAATGCTAACGTGACTATACGAGACGTGAAACTATGCGTTTTCCCGTCGGCAACAGAGCTTTGACGACGTCTAAACCCCTGACTTTTAATTATTCATTTTCTTTGTGCTATTGGATTAATGACAGTGTATTGATAGCCGTCGTCTTGACGTTGCGTGAACTCCATAATAACGAAGCTACGACCCTGTCTACAATATGTCAATAGAAAATACCATGCACCCGGTTTTTAAACTTAGAGGAAAATAGGAAAGAACTTTTATGGCTGCTACAACTTAAACCAACAAGGATTTCAAGACCTTTTACCTCCACCGCGATCATTGCAGAATATTACCCGCCAGGACTGTCTTATCGCGACGACGACGGCCAAAACAAACTCCTTCAAACAAAATGGTAGTAAAGAAAATTCCTCGCGTATCATCAAACGTTTGAATTTAATACAATATTAGAAATTGAAGACATTGCACTTGTTGCGGCTTCAAATACAGCCGTTGTAAGAAGACGTGAAAATGTGTGACTTGGCGTTGTAAACAGAGCGAAGGACAATGTCTAAATTATTCATATATTGTAAATTTTTAATTCTTTTCAATAATTTATTGTATTGGTAACCGTTGCCGTCGCGTCCCCATCCTAAAAACGTAAGGTCTCTATTACCCGCCGGGCCTATCTGCTGTAGATGAGAAGGAAATTGTGAATACATTACAAGAGGGGTTGATTCAGTTCTGCGTGGTCGACCATCAAATGGCATAATAATTACCGGCGACTTTAATCAAATGAAATTCAGCACGTTGTGCAGACGTTTTAATCTTAAAAAGGTTGTCCAGGGTACCATACGAAGTCAGAACGTTTTGGACCAAATTTAAACAGTATGTCAAAGCTTTACCACGACGTACAACATCTCACCCGCATATCGGTCGCTCCGATCATCAATGTCCACTAATTAATTGTCCTAAAAGGAAAGCCAAACCGATCTCAAAGAAAATACGGCAAATGAAAGATGGTAATTTAGTTGGACTAGATCTGCAAAAGCATGTCTTCCAATTGCCGTCACAAGTGAGTTTGTCTGAATATTCCCACAATTCTTGCGGGCTTGACAATAATATAATAGAGTTTATTTGCATTTATTTGAAAGTCAATTTCAGTTTGTCCGAAGTTTGTGCTACAAATAACAACCTTAATCTACGCTATAAAATAAGGAGAACTGGGGTCGGTCAGTAATGCCAATGCCGTTAACGATAAAGTCAGCATATTCACTATTACCATCATACACATGTTAAATAAATAGCTCCCTAAGCGCGTGCTGTATGCCTTCACCCCTCTGGTAAAACGTGGATAACACTTGAAATTAAAGCTCGACCAAAGGTATTCACAAAAAGTGATAAAGTGTAAACAATATTTCCCTAAAGTCGCCAAGTGTATAGCAAATGTTAAAACCAGTTACTACCAAGATGCTTTCACAAGTCGAACCCATGAGCTAGCTAAATGGTATAAATCGATATACGAACAGCTGCCAGTAATGATGCCAACAGATCCCTTCGACCGTCTCCAGGCGCTGCACCACTTCTAGCTGAACGTCTTCAACGAATTTTCCCAAACCTTGGAGGGATTTTGTTCAAACTAGAGCTCCAGATGTCGGTGAAATTGGGCATCTGGAGACCAGTGCATTGTTAAATCCTAGAAAGGCCACATGCTCAGATGAGATCCCTCCGTCCTTATTGAAAAAAGTAATGTGAAAAAGTTGCAGCAATTGTCCATGATCTCATCCGTACTAGCATTACGTAATTTAAATACCTAATGAAGGTGACCAACACGAATCGGTCTGCAGTGTTCGCTGCTCTGGCAGGTATTGTACAAAACTGTTTCAATGTCACAGATAATTTATACGAAGCTATTCCTCAACTTCCGTATAGCGTTTGACCTGGTTGATCACTTGATTACGGAATCCTCATGCAAACGTTGGCTAACATGAATGCACCAAAATGCTTTTGCGGTGGCCAAGGAATTTTTACGACGAAGAGAAGCCAACAAGTGAATCTTGGAAGTGCTCTTCGCCTCTTTTAACCAAAATACTATTTTTGTTCTTCAGTACCACTAGGATCTGTAATTTTGCCTTAGTTTGTTTAATGTTCACTTTAACGATGTTGAAGATATCATCTCGGATCAGCTATATGAATATACTGATGACTATATCATGATAAAACAATAGCCCCTGGTTTCTCCAGTCACATATTAGAATTTCGTGACGCGATGAATATGTGGTCAGATAGAAATAAATGCGCTTTTAAAATTCGAAAAAGATCAAGGTATCTGTTTTAGTGACACAATCCAAGAGCCTCCATCACTTAAGCTAAGGTATATTGGTGATGTATCGTGATTGAAAAAGTAAACAGTTTTAAATTCCTAGGTGTTTCGGTGCGGAAAGATCTCACGGAAACACTAACGTCGGCCGGGCGAGATTACGAAAATAGTAAATAATTTTTTTATCTTCGGGAATCTCGTAAACCTAATTTACCAACGGCTGTTGACCTCACATCTTATGAAACTAAAATCACATCCGTTCCAGAATATGCGTCTGCGTTATTGGGGGGGGGGGGCTGCGGCGATAGTTAAGTGATAAAATCGAGACCGTTTAGCCATTCAGGACAGAAGTTTGAGAATCTTAGGTCTACCGAAAGAAACATTGCCATCTCTCTTGCAACGACAAGAAAATTGTAGTGTAGAATATGAAAAAAAAACCTTTAAATCTTGCAACAGGCAGGATCACACCATATACTTTCTCCCATACCAAGAGCCTTGAACTTTAATGAATTCCTCGAATTGGAGGCATGTTTTAAACAAATTGGCTCAAGCTATAAGGCGTAAAAAATACCTGTGGTTCCGGTTTCATATCGCGAAAAAATTAGGGTCGGTAAGTCGGAAATAATTTCTTTTTAAATTTTTTCATGGTTTTTTCAATAATTAGTGTGACAATTGCAACAGGCGCTATTTTGGCAGCAGCCCGCAACCACTCGGAGAAACCCAGCGGCGGACTGGCTACCTCAAGGAGACCTGGGCGATTTGGCTAGATCGGGGCCCTGACCCCCCCAAAAAAGTTACCTTGTCCTATTTTAATTTTTAGTAGGCACTTGTATCATTAGTCATTGACCTGCAAAAATGTTATTGTTTTATAAAAGTAACTGACGCAAATAAATTATAAATGAAATATGAATTTATGTTCTTAACGTCAAAATAGAGAAAGGACATTATTGTCTATACTCTTCAATGGTTTCATGGCGTTAGGAGCCGTCTCAGTGCTACGGAACTGTTGGCAAACTGGTTGATGTTCTGTTCATTTAATATGTCACTAATCATCTGTTTATGCATGTATGTCAACATAAGTGCATGCCTCTAATTTTTCCTGCCCAATGTTGCTCCTTAATATAAACTTAAGCGTCAAGGAACGTCTTTCGCAGTCGACTTGCGATTCGGCGACGCGACGCGATTTTTTAGTTATTGAAAGTTAATAAAACAGCGAATGAGAGCAAATTTTAAAAGATATGTAGATCAAATAAATCAAAATGTTATAACTCTTCTAAATATTTGGAAAATTTAAACTATGGTCAAAGTTATCGGTTAGTGAAAATCGAAAAATCGTATCGCGTTGTCGAATTGCGTCCGGTGTGTCTGGACCTTTACCCTTTGGAAGCGATACTAAATACTGATAAGCTGCATGTAGTTCGGAATACGTAGATAAGTTGAGACCATCTTCATAAAAGCGTTTTAAATCGCAGCTGAAACATGACCTGTAAGACTTGTTTCTGCATACAACTGCATGAATTGGTTCAACATGCATGATTTCCAAACTTTTCACAAAGACTCCCTAATGCATTTTTTAGGCAGCGTCTGTCTTCTGCATTCATCAAATTGGCAAGGGTCCAAACAGAAAAATCTTGGTAAAGTCCTTGTTGGTTCTTAAATCTACTATTGGTGCTTGTTACAATTTGATCCATTACGACATTGAAAACATTCACTCGATAGTCCTCGCGTGTGCATGCATCTATCGCCTTATTTTTACGGTGGCCCATAAGTGCAAAACACAAAACAAGAAAACCAAAGCGCATTTCACGATTCTCAACCACATTTAACAGTTTTCTAGATATATATTTACATTTGACAAAACACATTTTAAAACGTCAACACATATTTGAACATCGCAAAGCACATTTGACAGATCGCAAAACACATTTGATATCGCAAAACACATTTGGAAATGATTAAACGGGCTCGTCGGTCTGTGCAGGCTAAATTCAAAATGGCGTCATTTTGAATGAATATTATCAGTTTTCCACTTTAATTGCAATTTGCATATATTTGATTATTATTACGATGAAATGCAGGAAATGCAAGTCAGACGTCTTGGAATCATTTCGCTTTTGTGACCTTTGTGGTACTGTACTTAGTGTGCAATTACAGAAAACGAATGGATCGAATGTTTCAGATTCTACGAGTAGCCAATATGGAAAATTCACAAGATCCACAATTTCAAATACACCACCTGGTCCACCTAGTCAGCCAAAAACTCCTATACTTTCCTTCAATGAATTTCGGAAACGAAAGTCGGACGAAAGGGTACAGCATGCGGCAGAAAAGAAAGAAAAGAAATCCCCCAAAGGAAGTTCTAATTGGAATAGGAATAATGACTTTGACAAAAGCGGAATTAAAACCCATGAAAGGCAAAGCCAAGATGGTCGGAGTTTCTGCAACCATTCGCAAGTTGGAACTTCTTAAGGTGTCATACGAAAAACACTGTGCACACGATCGTAATTTCGATAAAGAAGCAGATTATACACTTGTTTACCCAGATAGCACAGAAATTTTGTCCCTTCCAGACCATCCTGACCATATAGTTCAATTGGATGAGTATCATAAAGATGTTGGCAAGGCATTTAATTGCATTACAATGTTCCTTTTGGAACGAAGTGATCAGGAACTTTATAACCAGTTACAGCAAGACAATGGCAGTGACACTGATAGTGACTCAGTTCCTGAAAAGGAAAGCCATATTGGGCAGATGTCTGTGATTGAATCACTTGCTCGTGCTGGTTCAACTTCTATACAAACAAACAGTCTCTCAATGCAAGTCTCTACCAAAACATCAACATTCATGTCACATGATTCGATTGTTGTTGACGACCACAACCAAGGTTGCTCAAGCTCACAGGTAGAGAATGATTTACCTTCTGGAAAATCAGGATTTTCTAGGGGCTTTCAAAACTTGAAAGAAATGTTCCCCACTAAGAATGAATGTGAATTGAGGCAGGCAGTTGATGCAACTGGATCTTTGGAAGGAGTAATTAACTTGCTAGTAGAAGTTCAAGACAGATCAGTGAGTGACTTGTATGGGTCTTTATTGAGTGAAGAATGTGAGGATAACAATGATATTTACCATGATGAAGACGAGCCATTACATGAATCAAAAACATTGTATACAGTGAATGAAACGCTAACTGAAAGCTTAAAAACTGAAAGGAACTTAATATGGATAGCTCAGGGAACTTGAGAATGAAAGTTAGCAGGCGGAATGTTTGGGAAGAATCCCATATCAAGCTAGGAAGAGCAAAAGAGGATGTATGCAAACCTATCAAGGTTCAATTCATCGGAGAACCAGCTGTATAGATCAAGGTGGGCCATCACGGGAATATTTTGGGCTGGTAAATTCTGCTGCTTAAGAAAGGTTGATGTCACAGTCTGTTTTTAAACACAATATCTCAGCCTTACAGTTACAACAAAGGGAGTATTATGCATTTGGACAGCTTACTGCCTTTAGCATATTACAAATATCTCCAGGCCCTAGATGTTTCTCTAAGACTATAGTTGGTTACATTTTGACAGGAAATATTGAAGACCTCATGCCATCTATTGCTGAAATCCCAAATCATGACATAACGACCAGTCTTATTAAATTGGATGAACTCTCAAATGCTGATGAATTCAGCGAAAAAGCAAGCTTTGAAAGTGGATTCCGATTTGAAGCAGGCTACACGAAGCCATTTGTGACAATGTCTGATAAAGATGAGTTTCTCAGATGCATTGCACTTCACTACACTGTGCTTGTGCCATTGAGTAAACTTAACCAGTTTGTTGATGGTTTGAAGACTTGCAATATTTTGCAGTTAGTCCGAGAAGATCCAGATATGTTCAAAAGTCGATTTGAAGTGTCAAACACCAAGCTAACCGCTGAGGATATTGACTCCATTTTCGACCCACAATTCAGCCCTGTCGAGAGAACAAATTTTCCATAGAACAAAAGATTATTTTCAATTTTAATCAGTATCTTGAAGATGTTGAGAATGGTAGAGTTGTTAGCTAAGTTGAAGAAAGAGAAGTCACACTTAACCAGAATCAAATCCTTGAATTTGCAACTGGTGCACAAGATATACCTGCAGTTGGATTCTCTCCTCGTCCAACCATAGAGTTTTTACACAACTTTGGTGCTCAAAGGAAGATCAGCACAAATGCTTGTAGGTGAGTTGTGTGATCAAAAGAAGTTTAATGAGGAATTTACTTTTTGTTTGTTGAACTCACCTGGATTTCAGTTACTTTGAATTGCGTTGTGTAATCTGCGAAATGTGGAGAGGACTGAACTCATATCAAACTCATATAAATTACTTACTATGGGAGAATAAGTTTGTGCAATTGTCACGAAAAAGTTTGTGCAAGTTTGTTACAAAGATTATGTATGGCTTAACAAAAATTATTGAGCTTGCTTTTTTGTTCACCAGTCCCAGTACTTTTATGGGAACTTTGGTATGTTGTCTTGATATTGTTTAGAATTGTCAATGGTAGTTGTCTTTCATTTTGTCTGCTTGCTTGTTTCATATTAAGTGCATGCGTAAATACGTTTTCATTTGGTCTGCGTAGCAGTCGCTTTATGTAGGTATTGAGGATGTTTGAGTAAATGGCGGGTTAAAAAAATGGGCGAAGAAAAAAGGATGAGAAAAAATGGGCGAAGTTTGCTTTTCCTTCGCCTAGTTTTTCTTTGCTCAGTTTTTCTAACCTGCCATTTATTCATAAATCTTTAAAACCTTTAAAATCATAAATCTTTAAAACCTACGCAGGCTAGTATTCCTGCAACTGAAGGTGTATATAACTTACTAGTTTCCTCTGTCAAGAGAATAGGGAATTGGGAGAAAGTGATGTGAAAAATGAGGAGACGTTGAAAAGGATGGAGAAGGAAAAGGGCAACAACAATACAACACTGCACCACTTGATAGTTATAGATTTTGTTTAACTTAAACAATGGTTGAAAAAAAATACAATCCATAACTTGGTCAAAAGGCATTACTGCTTGGTCATTCTAAAATGGGATAGAGGAAGTAACAAATGAACATAGTAACTTTCTTGATCACCACATTATGTACACCTACAAATGCACATTAATTAAGCATGCATCTCATCTGAATGATGTATAGTACTTGTATCTTATGATGAAATTAAATATACATATAAGAGTTATTTGTATATTTCTGACGATTTTGATATATTTTAAGGGATGATGGATTTAACATAAACTTCAAAATATCTTTTAAATTTACGGACCAGAACTAATTCACATATCTGTTTGAGGTTTTTGGGATGTTAATGAACATAATCTTTCATGAATGTTTGCATACTGAGAAATAGGCGTGCAAAGCAATGTATGCCTATTTCTGAGGTATGAAATCCCCAAATAGGCATAAAATGACAAGCATTGTGACTGCATATTCTAATGGCCTTGCTGACACACTGCGTGAAATTCCAAGACTACATCATACTGTAAATCCTTTATTAAACCCCATATTTGCTTCTGCACTTCAGCTAAATCAATAAGACCTAGACTGCAAGCGGTTCCTCTGGGTTTAGCTTCCTGGACGTGCGAGGGGAAAGGAGGGACTGGCGACTGCTTGCGATCTAATAAGACCTCTCTCTAAATATAGCACTTCTCTAATAAGCCCCTCCCATTAAATGTGCCTGAACTAAACAAGCTCCGCCAGGGTTTTAAGAAGGTTTTACGTTATGTGTGTGTTCATGTTTGAGCGACTGTTGATAGTCTATGGTATAGTGCTAATGCAACCCTCCACGAACTTGGCTCAGCAATACCAAGCATTTCATTGACATAAGCAAAGTACTCCTGGTAAATGAGCGATTCATTTGAATCATCAGATGGATTCAGCTCACGATTAATTTCTTCTAAATTCTCGGGGTTGTATTGGTGTTTGTAGTCAATAGTGCCAACACTGTCTGGTAAATAATATAGAGTATTGGGGATTCCTGAAGCGGTCTGAGGAAGCACTGACCTGAGGACATAATTCCATTTTCGGTACCTCGATCAGTTCGAAGGATTGATGGGCATCCTCCAACTTCAATAACAGCATCTCTAAATAACTTTCCAATTACTTTAGGATCATTATTACTCATTTCAAGTTTTAACCATATCACACGTCGACTAAAGCCATCGATGCAGCCATGTATAGGTAATCCATAAGGCTTCAATTTGTCATATCCGTCCGCGTGCCAACAGTTATTTGGCCCTGGGTTGATATAATTTCGTCTTTTCAGCCGGTGGGCTTGTCTAACCTGGTTCCTTCTGGGTCCATCTCTCTCAACAGGATTTCTACAGCAGATCTTGGCACATTTATTCCATACTTTAAATGTAGTTTTCGCCACATTGCTCGGTAGCCAAGTAGGTTTCCAGCTCCTTCGAGTTCTATGCTAATGTGCTGTCGAAGAACAGCTTCATTTATGTCACAATTTCGTCGGGTTAAACCATATTGTTTCAAACGATTCAAAAGAGTCCGTTTTGACATTTTTATGTCGTGATATTTATCCAGAAAATTTAATATCGTGTTATACTCGCACCTTCTGTAAAGTAATATCTAATTGCTTCCTCTTCATCCATATATTACAGTAAAAAACACCTACGCTACACCTCAATACAGTACCGAATATAAACAGTATGTTTACTACAGTGCTTTCCCGCTTCACCTAACACCCTCAACAGGCCACAAATTAAAGGGGCCGAGAATTTTGGTTGCGATGTCAAATGTGTTTTGCGATGTCAAATGTGCTTTGCGATGTCAAATGTGTTTTGCGATGTCAAATGTGTTTCGCGATCTGTCAAATGTGTTTTGGAATGTCAAATGTGTTTCGCGATGTCAAATGTGTTTTGCGATGTCAAATGTGTTTTGCGATTTGTCAAATGTGCTTTGCGATGTCAAATGTGTTTTGCGATGTCAAATGTGTTTTGCGATGTCAAATGTGTTTTGCGATGTCAAATGTGTTTTGCGATTTGTCAAATGTGCTTTGCGATGTTCAAATGTGTGTTGACTTTTTAAAATGTGTTTTGTTAAATGTAAATATATGTCTAGAAAACTGGTAAATGTGTTTGAGAATCGTGAAATTCGCTTTGGTTTTCTTGTTTTGTGTTTTGCACTTATGGGCCACCGTAGGTCCCACATAGCATATTTGTTAAGAACGAAGCTTATTGCAGCGTTTTGAAGTTTCTTTTGCAAACACTGTGGGAGTGGGTAACATACTACGTCGTTATAGTCAAGTTTAGAAACAACTAAGCTTTCCACAAGTTGCTTCCTTACGTTAATAAGTGGAGCTAAGTTATTTAATTTCCGCAGAGCCCCCCCCCCTCTTCCGTAGGGTGGACAAAACGGCATAACACGATGAAGATAAGTTTTTAATGTGATCCTACCATTTAAGACGTCCGTTTAACCATGTACCGAGAATTTTAAATGATGATGTTCTTTCGAGTAGCTGGAACTATGTCCCTAAGAACGTACGATGTGGACATTTGCGGAATTGTAATCAACATCTGCTTGGTCCTATAGAACCATTAGGCATGCATAAGATTCGATTGGGTAGCCGCCAATTCCTCCAAGTTGGAGATGTTGTCTTTTATCTTCGAGTAGTGAAAACAATATTTTACGAACGAGCGCAGCGAGTGAGTAAAATATTGTTTTTAACACGAGCAAAAAATTGTGAAATTTCACGCTGAAAAGCAAATTGGATAAAAGCCACGTGATCGATATCTTCACTAGTGAAGATATGGAAAATATCTCACTGTGTGTCTGTGTATTTTTCAGTATCTCACTCAGGCGCGGATCCAGACTGATGCAACTGATGCGAATGCATCAGTCAAAATTTTCACACGAACGAGAATTGTCAACATTTTATTAAAATATATTTAAATATTGGTTGTCTTTGATCCAAAGTCCTTTAAAACAATATATTTTCACAAGAATGAATGTAAACAAAGCTATATTTCGCAAAATATTATGAAAAACGTAAACGCATATCAAATTTCGCACTTATCAAGTTGTACGATTTTCAGATTTTGTCGCGCCACATATGTGTGTTTAGTTTGATGCATCCACTATTATTACAGCTCAGTGTATGCATCACTACGTCACGTTGGGGCCGGCAGTGCATCACTACGTCACGTTGGGGAGAAAAGTGCATCAGTGGCGCATCGGTCCCGAGTCTTTTGGCCGAGTTTTCCCAACGACACGTCACGAAAACCATTGTTTTCATGCCTACGTAACGTTGGGAAATGGATGCTGACTGATGCGTTTAGCCCGCGATCAAAATAATGCGCTTTTGACTGATGCATTTCGCCCGCAATCAGAACAGTCAGTGATAAATTTTATGGTCGAATTGTTATATAATGGGGGGAGTATAATGGAACATTGTATGTCGCATTGTATGGAAATATTTTACGATCTTTGGTGGTTCACTCAAACTCACTGAGCCTCAAAGCCGTCGAAATTAAAAGGTTTGTCAGCTATTTCAGTAATTTCACAAGGGAATGTTTGGGATCTGTGTACTGTGTTTATAGATGTAGATTTAAACGAGTGAGTCTGTGTGTGACTGTGTGTTGATATTTATAATAAATACTGTAGGTATAGGAATATTTGTCGTAGTATAAATATCACAATTTTACAAAATTTATTATATTTGAACTGTTTTAAATATGTCAACATGGATGATCCTGTTTTGGCTGTTCACATATAAACACTCAATATGCCATTCAGCCAGTACATAGTGTGTGTGTAGGGGGGGGTGGGGGGTGGAGGTTGTGTCTTAATTTGTTTGAAAATGCAAATTGAATCTAGATGCTTGATAATATTTTGCAGTTCTCCCTGAGATTCTTACAGTCTAAGGGACTCTGTCTAGGATCCTGCAACCCTTACTAGCAGCTATATTCCTGGCACCTGCCGGTTACTTGGTTGGTTACTTGTTAGGTGCTGTTTCCCCAAAACACTGCTATCTGTATGATTACACACCATGCCTTGGTTGATGCTCACACCCGACATCAATACCGGCACCTAATTAGATCCCTCCCATATCCAAATCCATCCCTGTATGTGCATCATTTTGGAATTGGGAAGCTCTTGAAGCTTCAAAACAATATTTTAAAGGGCAATGTTTGGTGATAGTGAGATTAGTTCAGTTATATATTATCTCTATTGTTCCAGAATGATCACCTAGTACCAGAAGCCATCAATCACACTAAATGGCATTACATGTATCAGGGTTGCCCCTGCCAAGGTGAGGGGAGAGGCACAGGGGGTGACCGGCAAATTATTGTGATGCTGAAAATAAAGGGGATTCACATGTTTAGGAAGGGAATAAATTTAGCTGGGCTCTCTCAAGTTCGGCCCCTTAAATTTGTGATGCTCTTCCTGGCATTGTTCATATGCCTTTAAATTATACCATTCTCATGACCATGGCTCAGCACAAGGTGTTCATTTTAAATGTACCAGTCTAATTAGCAGTTATGGGACCAAATTACTGTTCTGATCATTCTATCATTTATTTTCAATACAACAAAGGGTCATTGCATAGAATACATTAATGTATAAATTGATAAATTATCTCACTTTCATTGATAAGTCAATGTACTAATTGAGTTGATCACAATATACTGCACTGCCACTGTTACTGAAGCTTGTCAGTCCTGCTCATGCAATCAGATACCTACCAAGTCCATAACTGCACTTCTCCCTGTCTATCCTTAATATCTTGAAACAGCAGTTTTGGATACATACAGTAGTCCTAGACACTCTCCTGAATGTACTGTAATTTGGGATTCAATGCAAAATCTGTGGAGATATATTGGTCAATGTATTGTAGATATCCAGACTTCAAATACAGTAGAATAATCTATTTTCTGCAAATAGTTTCAATAATTGTTTATTTTTATTATTAACTGCTCAGCAACAATGAAAACTATTACCTAACACCCTTGAATACTTTGATAATCTTACAGTATTTAAAAATTCAAACTGCATTTGTCAAAATGTTGGATATAAATGCATCCATAAATATTAGAGTGACTAGCTCCAGAGAGGGCCTTCATATACAGTAACTCAAAGTTGCCCTGGAATTAATCCTGGATTATTAAAATAATTTAACTGGAATTTATGTCATGGTGGTGCTGCTGGAAGGCATTTGACCTGGAACATTGTTATATTGATTGGTGTTAACTGGTAACAGGAAGTGATAAGTTACAGGAAGTGATATCATTGGCAATGAATATAATAGTTTGCTTGAAGTATTCTTATCTATTTTGCATAAGAAACACAACCCTGATCAGCTTTTCATGTCATTTGCACCATATTTTACACAGAAAAAATGTCTGTGGTTTTGCTTTCAATTATTCTATCAGTATGTTGTGTACATGTAAGTAGTGTACACTTGTATGTAAAATTGTAAATTATAGCTACAACTTTGCTACTCTATAATTCTCACTCAAATAGGATCAAATAAATAAGGCTAGTCAAGTTTCGATCTGATAAAACTCCGCGTAAAAATGTTTTCAATTTATTTTAAAACTCACATGATTATGTTGTTCTCACTCTATAAGGCCGATTTTTTACGTTTTTTCCCCGAAAATCCAGCAAATTACGTTTCGATTTTGATGTGTGAACTTCGAAGAAAAGCTCCCTCAGAACGCAGGAAATCGCATTTCCGAGGTCCTAGATTTCAAAATTTCCCGGGGGAGGATTCCCCCGGACCCCCCTACAAATGCGCGCTTTAGTGCATCAGTCAACAAAACCACTGGATCCGCGCCTGTACACTAATACACAAAGGTCAAAGTATACTATCTGGCATTACAATAAACATCATTTAATATAAAGACCGAGTCAAATGTACGTATAAAGCCTTCTATAAAACTAATGTATTTATATCATATGCATCGTTTTAATTCAAATATTGTCGCAGCAAATTGAAATTTTAAGCCGGAACACATGCTCAAAATTCACGAATGAAGATAGTGAATATTTCCTTTCAAAATTGCTCTATTTATATATAAAACTTAACAAAATTCTTACCTGGATGTTACCCAGTCATCCCTGATGTTTAGTCTTCGTTAAAATGATGTCATCTTTCGGTAATAATGAAATAAAAGCTCTGTATTTCGAGCCCAAAATTCAAAACAAAAAATTTAAAATATGACGGTTGTGAATTGTGACGCTATCCCAGGAAGTTTTGCGCGTGTTGTAGGAAAACTATGCACCAGTCTGACAAACCGCGCTCATCGTGAGAATTTTCATGTTTTGTCAAAAAATTATGTTTTGTCAAAATAACAAAATACCTACCTCCACAAAGACTATAAATATTTTGGTAAATATAATTTCAATGAACTCATGAAAAATTTAAAATTAACTGGGAAATTTTGACCAGTTAAATAAATACATTTACCCTTTCTCAAATCTCCGACTTTCTATGAATAGGAAATAAATATAGCCGTAAGATCTAATTATTTTGCTATTTATTAGCTATTTTAATAACAGCTCTAAACATAAAAGTAAACATAGTTTAGAAATAGCTATTTAATAGCTATTTTGAACAAAGTTCGCCACAACTTTGCGTGAATATAGGAATTAAATAGCTATTTAAATGTATGTATTTTGCTATTTAATAACCATTTTAAAAATAGCTCTAAAAATAAAAGCAAACATAGTTTAAAAATAGCTATTTTATAGCTATTTTGAACAAACTTTCTATGAATAGGAATTAAATATCTATTTAAGATCTATTTAATTTGCTATTTAATAACTATTTTAAGAATGGCTCCAAAGAAGAGAAGCAAAAATAGTTTAAAAATAGCTATTTAAAACTATTTTAACTGACTCGTTTGTCATCAATAGGAATTAAATAGCTACTTAAAACCTATTTTATAGCGCGATTCCGTCAATTACTTTTTCAAATAGGATTTGAATACCTATTTCAAAGCTATTTTTTTGAAAAATATAAATAACCTATATTTTAAATGGAGTGTAAATAGTCATATACTATTTTATGAAATTTGATAAATAGTAATAAAATAGTCATATTCTTGAAAAAATACGGAAAAAATAGGGATAAATAGAGAAAAAATAGGTCTAAAATAGGTTATAAATATGTCGGAATCTACAAGGGGGTGTTACCCCAAATTAAATTTCCGTAAATAAGGTATGGGTAGACCAACGCATAGTATATCAGCTTAATTCCATTTCTATTTACGAATTGACGCATTTTTGATATTATGCCAGAAGCTTTAATTATTTCCTTTGCTACTTTAGCTATATGATTATTCCAGGTCAAACATTCATCGATAATTATACCAAGAAAGTTTGTACTTTTAACTTGTTCAATATTTTTATCATTTATGGCAATTTTAATGTCATATTTTGTTTTTTATTAGAAGATCTGAACAGAATAAATTTAGTTTTATTAGTATTTAGGGATAATTTATTAACATTCAGCCATTCGGCTACTTTATTAATTTCTGTTTTCATAATTTCATTAATTGTTTTAATACATTTGTTACTATAAAATATATTAGTATCATCTGCAAATAATACAAATGAAAGTAGTTTACTACAATTTTCAATGTCATTCATATATAATAAAAATAGAATAGGTCCAAGAATTGATCCTTGTGGGACTCCAGTTTGAATTAACATTTCTTTTGACCTACAGTAACTTGATTATATTTGACAATTTGCTTTCTGTTGGTCAAATAGTTTTGAAACCATAGTTGAGCTACTCCCCGTATACCATAATGTTCTAGTTTTTGTATCAGAATCCTGTGATTAATTGTATCAAACGCCTTTGATAAGTCTAGGAATATACCAATTATGAATTCTCCATTATCTATTGCTTTAGTAAGTTTGTTGGTAAGTTCAGTTATTGCAAGTTCGGGGGATCTATTCTCTCTGAAGCCATATTGATGGTGCGTCAACATTCTATTTTTTTTCGATAAATTTGATTAATCTCTTATACATGAGTTTTTCTAATAATTTTGAAAAACAAGTGAGAACAGATATGGGACGATAATTTTTAAATTCATTGTTTTCATTTGCTTTGAAAACTGATGTGATTAATGCTGTTTTTAAGTTATCAGGAATATTTCCACTAATAAAAGTTAAATTGAAAATATATGAAAGAGGTTCCGAAATTACATTAGTAACATTCCTGATAACTTTTACACTTAAGCCATCATACCCAGGACCCTTTTTGGGATTTAAGTTTCTGATTTCAGTCTCTAATTCGTATTTAGTTATGGGCTCGAGAAAAAAGCTATCTTTATAACTACCAGTTAGATACTGATTATAAGTTCTGTCACTTTTTTGGAGTTTTTTGACTATGTTTTGTCCAACATTCACAAAATATTCATTGAACTTGTTTGCTATTGTTTGTGGATCACTAATCTTTCCTTCTGAATTATTTGCAGTAAATTCTTTCGGTAAACTTCTATTCTTCTCATATTTGTTCATAATTTGGTTTAATCTTTTCCATAGCATTTTTGAATCGTATTTGTATTTTATTAGTTGTTCTTCGTAGTATTTTTTTTGCTGCTTTTATTACGTGGTTAAGCTTATTTTTGTATTGTTTGTATTTGTTTTCATTCTTTATTGTAGGATGATTTAAGTATTTTTTATATAGCTTGTTTTTCTTCGTGATAGACTTGACAATGCAATTTGTTATCCATGGACTTTTTTTTTTGTCAATATTTTTTTTACCTTCTTTTTTGTCAGTGGAAAACTTTTTTCATAGACAGTTGAAAATATGTCAAAGAATCTATTATAGGACTCAGTGGTGTCATTGCTAGAAAGAACATTTTCCCATGACGTACTTTTGATTGTGTCAGTGAATGTTTTAATATTGGAATCATTGATAATTCTTGTAAATGTATACTCTTTTGCTGGCCTAATCTTTTAATTAGACTTAAAACTTCGCACATGAACGATAGGCAAGTGATCAGAGATGTCAGAAAAAATTATACCATTTGTACTGGATTCTATACTTTCAATATCGTTAGTAAAAATATTGTCAATAAGTGTTGCCGTATGTTGTGTGATTCTTGTTGGTCTCAATATAAGTGGAATATATGATGATGTAAATAAAACTTCTAAAAATCTGTTGGTATAATCACAAGATTCTGATTTTAATAAGTCAATATTGAAATCTCCCATAAGATAGCATACTTTATTTTCTTTATCTATTTTACCTAGTATTTCATTAATTTTATTTTCAAATTCATCGATTTTGTTGTTTGCTGGTCTGTATATTACGCCTATTATTATATTTTTACCAGATGGTATTATAAGTTCAATAAATACTGATTCAATTGTATTGTCATAGTTTAAATTTAAATCTTTGCGAGATTTATATTTTATTTGGTTTGATATGAAAATACCTACTCCTCCGCCATTTTTTCTGTATCTGTTTACATTTACAAAGTCGTAATTTTCTAATTTAAAAAGATCATCGTTATTATCATTTAGCCACGTCTCTGTTAAACCAATTACTTGAAACGGTGTGTTAAATGAATTTATAAGTTGTTTAAAAGAATCAAATTTATTAACTATGCTTCTAATATTTAAGTGCATAAATGAAAGTTTATTATTAATTAGTTCCGCTCGATTTATTTGTTGTTCGAAATCGTTTGGTAGGTAATATTCACAGTTAATTGTGGTCGGGTTATCTAGGTTTGCGTTGTTTTCAGATAACGCGATATTATTTGTTTCGAAAGGGTTGAATTTTAAATGCTTTAGTCTATCCATACTTCTTCACTGAGATTGTTTCCATTTAAAACATTTAGTTCATAGTCTAGATCATCAAGCATTTGAAATGGTAAGGTATTATCTAAGCATTCTTGGCACACGTCAATTGTATTTCCGATGTTTGGGTCAAATGACTTTATGCATGCTGACACAGCATGAAACCATTTGGCATATGTCAGACATTCATTTGCTTTTTGTGTTTTGTGGATTATTTTAAGGCAAGAATAGCACTTTTCCTTTTGATTATTGTCAAGATTGCTCATTTAAGAGTTTTCTAGCTTAGTATTTGTTTGTTCGGTGAATAGAAACTATATATACTATACATCACAATATTTTAGGAATGTATCAAATTTCAAGATCTAGTGCTATTATTAAAAACTCGCCCTTCGATGATAAGTTTATCCCTTATAATCTTGGATTTTTTACCTTCTGCCTTGGCCTTTTTTAGTTCTGGATACAGAGTTTTTCGAATGCTCTCGACTTCTTCCGGAAACTGCTCTGATATGCCGATTTTTGTGCCTTTCAGCTTCTTTGCGTTTATTCGCACAAATTCCCTGTCTTGGTGGTAATTGAATTTTACCACGATTGGCCTTGGTCTGTTATTTCCTGCTTTCTTTTTCCCAATCCAATGGGATCGATCAATCTTCACTTTATTTCGTGCGTCTTCAACTTCCATCTTTGACTCCAATAAATGGTGGATAATTTCTGTTGTGTTTTCTCCCTCGCTTTCGGGCATATTGAAAAATAACAAGTTGTCGCGCATCGATCTTGCCTGTATGTCTATTACCTTGTCGCGCAACGTGTTGTTGTCTCGTTCGAGCTTTTCAATTATTTCCGCTGCTTTCGCTTGATCTGCCTTCATTGTTTTGTTCGCGTTCTTCAGATCCGCTATTTCTTCATGTGCGTAGTCGGTTGATTTTCTGAATTCCTTCATATCTGCCTCAATGTTGTCTAGTTTCTCCAATTTCTTCATAACTGTTTTAAACATGTCGTAAATTTCTTTAATTTCGATCCTCGTTTCTTCTTCTTTTTCGTTTAGTTGCATCACGGGTGTGTGAGGTTTAGGTATTTCTGATTTTACTGCTTTTGTTGGCGTGCATAGGTTCTCATTATTTGAATTTTGCGCAGCGCGCTTGGATGCGTGTGGTTTAGTCGCCATATTTATATAGGATTTAAAAATGCTTTGTCATTTGTATTTATACTTGTACTGCATTACAAGGCAGTGCGTAAGTGAACAGATTCCACATGTGAGGTTGTCTTGTATATATTTTTTCCTTCTTTGATAAACATTACTATTAAACACGCAAATTTTAATTAGTGAGACGCACAGTCGCACATGTTAAATATCACCTGCATGTCATTGTCATTGCCCTTTAACCCCTGGTCTAATTGTCCGTTTTTGAAAATGTTGATGTATAAATTATGGATGATTCCAATTCATTACAAATATTTCTTATTCTTGTTCTTTAAAATACCGTACTAAAGATTTGGGAACAATGCTACACCAAGGCAGCATTCACTACCCTGTGGGTAAACTAGTTAGTAAATATCAAGGGAGCACTGTTTGTAATTTTGCCTTGCTGCACCATTGGAGTCACGCTGTGAAGACGTGTAATTGTATTTTACATTTAATCTACTTGTTGACAGCAAGCTAATTGCCTATTTGCGCAAATGGCTACACCTTTTTGATCAATACTGCTTTGAGTCTGCCTTGAATTACTATATATAACAGTAAAAGATAAAACTCCTAGTATTTTATGCGATTTCCTCTTGCTTTAAGAACAGCATCTACTCGACTTGACATGCTTGAAATAGTACGATCGATTACATCAGTTGAGAGATTTTCCATGGATTTTAAACCCCGCGCTGTAAAGTCTTGAAACGTTTCCGACGTTATATTATTATTAGCAATTGCTTCATTCTCGAGACTTTTCTTTAACAAGTGAAAGACATTTTCAATTGGATTCAGGTCAGCTGGAATCTTGTGAAATTCAGCCTCGATTTTTTCCATTGATTTTCACGCTGCTTTGCTCGTTTGTGATGGGTCATTATCCATGAGAAACAGGCGTCGGCCGTCCTTTTTACGTCCGCACTTTGCAAAACAAGTATTAAAATGCTTTGCAATGAACTCTGCAAAGAAATTGCCATTCATTTTCTCATAGGGAACTTTGAGAACCACACCTTTCCCGTACGCTATAGCGACAATTACGTGCAGTCTCTTTCCACCAGCCAATTCTTTAGAACCTTTCCCTATCACCAATAGCCCTTCTGACATTTTTCTCCAAACCCTTGCTTTGGGGGCAATCGCGCTGTTCAACGGATTATGTTTGAAAGCAAAAGAAACACCATCCAAGTAAAACGCTACTTCATTTTTCCAAAAACTCTTATTTTGGTTCATGTAACGCTTCATTTATCTTGAATATTTCGTACGTAATATTTTGTCTCTTTCCGTCACTAATCCCTTTTTGCGTACCTGATAAAACCCATAACCTTTCTCGTTCAATCTACGCGAAAATGTGCGCCGACTTGCCATTTGTAACGTGAGGCCACTTTCCCTTACGAGTGTTTCAACAGTTACGTTCGGGTTTTTCTTCCTCGACTTTTTCAGGCATCTTATTAATTTTCTAACAGATCGCGCGTCAACTTTTCTTGGGCGACCCTTGTTGCCTTTTAACTGTTTAGATCTCAGCGCAACTGGTTGTTGGTCTCCCCTCCATATTCTTGCTACTGATGATGGGCTTATATGACATTTTCTCGCGATCTCCCTATTCGAAAAACCCGATTCCTTTCTATAATGAAGTACCAAAGCCCCTGTCTTTGCTCTGATTTTTCTTGTGTAAACCATCCTTAAATGAATCTAATTATCAAAGTGCATATTATTCAAATTTATTTTGTAGCCTGCCTCATTTTATATATACGGGATTCTCATGATTCATAGTAACACACCCCACATATAACGTAATAATTATCAATATTACGACGCGCACGCTAGGCCGTTTTCAATAACTCCCAACGAAATAATCTAGAACACGCCACCCAATATACGTAGAAAACACGTTACTAATGCTTCGGTACATTCTGAGTCAAAATTGTATATGTATATAAATTTTAGTTACATTTTTATATTCGGACAATCCTGGTCAAAAATTTTGGCGCACTTGACACTGACTGTGCGAAATTTGACTCCAATTTCAATAACAAGCATAGCAACCCCCTTTCCCCCGTTCAATGTTGTGTGTTGTGTATTAGACGTCCAAGGTGTTACACAACATTGATTGGGGAAATAGGGGGATGTCTGAAATTTTGCATAAAATGCGCAAGTATGTATATGGTAATCAGAAATGAAGTAAAAGCTAAGCTATTTCGACTAAGTGCGCCAAGGATATTTGACCAGGATTGTAGGCTCATAACTCATTGCTTGTGTTCCCAAGCTCGATATTTCGCCTGTCATCCATAGCCGAAATTTCATCTTTTAATCAACCAAAAAGACTTCTAGAGGCATCAAAATGAATGGTTTTGTCAGCAAGGCGAGGGTTACTGAATGCATGTATTTTCTAGTCTATGAGCGAATAGTCAACGAGGCCAAGCCGAGTTATTATTATTATTATTATTATTATTATTATTATTATTATTATACGTCTTTATTAAAAATTGAAGTTGCAACAAACGTGCATCTTTACAGTGCATATAAGATATCTATAAATATATATATTGTAATTATTAAAACGTTCAGTGGATATGAGAAATGCTAATTAGATTATTTACAAATTTAGTATTATTTATAAATTAAATTATTTACATTATAGTTAAAGGTGATCTACAGTCCGTATGTAAACAAAGCCTTTGTTTACATTTTTGTGTCCAAAATATTGAGCTTTATTCAACAACTATTTATATTTTCAAGCTTCTAGAGTATAATAAATGATCAAGAAACAACAATCAGGCTTTTCAAGAATTCAAAACATAGTTAAACTGTTTGTATCATAAAAATTGGGCTTATTTGTGCACATGCGCAGATCGGACTGTAGATCATCTTTAATATTATATATCGTATATAACAAAATTTTAGAACTAAAAGTCATTAAAAAGACACTTGTTCAAAAATGAGCGTTTAAAACGTTCTGTGTAAACTTTTGGTAACATAAATTGATGATCGCGTTCTCTTAAAGGTCGTCGACGTTCTTCCGGTAACAACTCATATAGGCAATGTTCAGGATTGTGCATGACCTTATTGAACAATAATCGATCGCTCTCCTCAATCATCTTGGCCATTGAATATTTATTCTGAGTGTATCCATATCGGAATGCACGATTGAGGAACTTGTCGAATTTATCAATATATTTCGCTTGCAAAGCCGATCCCCATACTTCAATTGCATAGTAAAATAACGGCTATTTTGATAAGCTTTTTCCCTTTAAATGCAACTTTTAATACTTAATTTAAAAACGGCCATTGACTCTCCATCCTTCGCCGCTTGTTGCTATACTAGTAGGCTATCATTAATAGCCTACTAGTAGCGTATAGCCAATCAGAACGCACGGTACATGATAGCCTACTAGTTAGTAGGTTTATACTATATATATATATATATATATATATATATATATATATATATATATATATATATATATATATATATATATATATATATATATATATATATATTTATATATATATTTACACTGTAAATTCAAAAGAGTAGTTTTGACCCTTCAAAGGAGTAGTTTTTTTGACCCCAGGACTACCCTTTCAAAAGGGTCGTTTCAGTCTCTTCGGCGCTTACTCTTCGAAAGGGTAGATTCTACCCTTTTCAGAGGGTAGTTTTAACTCCTCAAAGGGTAGGAGCGTTACCCTTCGAAAGGGTCGTTTCAGCTATTCGAAAGGGTCGTTTCAGCTATTCAAAAGGGTCGTTTCAGCTATTCAAAAGGGTCGTTTCAGCTATTCAGAAGGGTGGTTTCGGCTATTCAAAAGTGTCGTTTCAGCTATGCAAAAGGGTGGTTTCAGCTATTCAAAAGAGTCGTTTCAGCTATTCAAAAGGGTGGTTTCAGCTATTCAAAAGGGTCGTTTCAGCTATTCAAAAGGGTCGTTTCAGTATTCAAAGGGGTCGTTTCAGCTATTCAAAAGGGTCGTTTCAGTATTCAAAGGGGTCGTTTCAGCTGTTCAAAAGGGTGGTTTTAGCTATTCAAAAGGGTCGTTTCAGCTATTCAAAAGGGTCGTTTCAGCTATCCAAAACTCTCTGTAAAAATTTTGTCATAAGCAGGGGCGGATCTAGGGGTCGTCAAACCAGTCACGCGACTAACGTAAAAATCGCAAACTTAATTAAAGTTAAATATTCGACCAATAGTCCAGTTATTTTTTATCATGCAGCGACACCTTATAATAGTCCAGTATCTATTATCATGCAGCGCTAGCAATTAACATTCCAATCGAACTGTAGTCCAGTGCTCAAATTTCATACAGTGGTTGAGCCGACGAGCTTAGTCAAGTCAATAAGCAGCTGACATACGCAAAGTCGGTCAGTCAAAAAGTCAAAATCCAGTGCTCTGATTGGTCTAGACGCTTATTGCCATGGAAACAAGAGATTTTTTTCGATTTTGACTGATCTGTGGGGAGTTCTGACCGATTTAAAAAAAAATAGATGAATCTAATAATATATTTTCTGATTTAGATTGTTCTAAAGGCCTAAAAATGGCAAATTTAAATATTAATAGTCTTTTAAAAAGTATCGACCAGCTCCGTATCATTATGCAAAATAGCTCTATTGACGTTCTGGCGATTAATGAAACAAAAATTGACCATTCAGTGTCTGATGATGAAATTAGCATACCTGGATATTATCATATCCGTAAAGATAGAAATAGGTATGGTGGGGGAGTGTTATTATATGTGCGAGAATCTTTACCATTTTCTGAACGAAATGACTTATTAATATCTGATTCGTTAGAAATGCTATGCATTGAAATTACGAAACCGCACAATAAGTCATTTCTAATAGTTACATGGTATAGACCGCCAAATTCTGAGGTTAGTCTCTTTAATGAATACGAAACTTTTCTTAGAAAATGCGACTTGGAAAATATTGAAGTAATAATAATGGGGGATCTGAATTGTGATACCATAAAATGTCCTCCCGAAGCTCACACACGCAGACTACAATTTCTATCCTCACTTTACCAGTATAAACAACTTATTAATGAACCTACAAAGGTAACAAGAACATCAGCAACCTTAATAGACTTGATATTGACAAACAAAGAGGAAAATATTTCGAAATCTGGTGTTATTCATCTTGGAATATCTGATCATAGTTTGGTTTTTGCCGTTAGAAAATATTGTGTCACTAAATCTCGGCAAAAGACAAGATATGTTCGCAATTTCAAAAGATTCAATGCCAATAACTTTCTTAATGATCTTTCCCAGATGCCCTGGGAAAATGTGGCGCTTTATGATAACCCAAATGTTTGTTGGCGGGTATGGAGATCCCTTTTCCTACACGTCCTTAATTGGCATGCGCCCCTAAGACTGATGAGACTTAGAGGAAATTCTATTGCTTGGATTTCCCCTGATATCAAAAACCTGATGAGGGTTAGGGACTCTTACAAGAAAATGGCTGTTAAAAATAATTCCCAGATTCACTGGGAGAAATTCAAAGAAATACGTAACAAAGTCAATTCAGAACTAAATAAAGCTAAAACAGCATTTTTCTGTAACAAATTTGAGAACTGCGCACAATCGAAAGATATGAAACATAGTTGGAAGTTAATCGATATTCTCTTAGGTAAAAACAAAAAATCAAATAATATCTCTCAAATTAAATCTGATGATGTTGTGATTTCAGATGATACTTTGAAAGCTGAGGCGTTTAATGACTTCTTTGTTAACATCGGGGTAAATTTGGCTAATGAAATTGAGAACGATTCTCCATGTACGAACTTTTCAGATGATGAAAATTACAACTCTAGCTATTACTCTAATATAAATTTTAAGTTTTCTGAAATTAGTATGGATGATATTATTTGTCAATTACGTAATCTTAAAATTTCAAAGTCTACCGGTATTGATAACATCCCTGCTATAGCTCTTAAATTGTCCGCGGAAGTTATTGGTCCTTCATTAACATGGATTTATAATCTTTCAATCAAAACTGGGATATATGTTGATGAATGGAAAAAGGCGTGGGTAATGCCAATTTTTAAATCTGATGATAGACAAAGATGTGAAAATTACCGACCTATATCTACATTGCCTATTGTCAGTAAAATAGTAGAGAGATCGGTTTTCAACCAGATTTATAAGTTTTTGAATGATAATTCGCTGCTATCTAAACATCAATCTGGCTTTCGGCCTAAGCATTCAACTTTAACAATACTCATTCAAATGTGTGACACACTTTATGAGAACATGGATAATGGTCAGTTGAGTGGTGTTGTTTTCCTTGATATTAGAAAAGTTTTTGATTCTATTGACCATACAATCTTATTGCAAAAGATGAATGATCAATTTGGAATAAAAAATGTGGAACTGGATTGGTTTAAGTCCTATCTAACTAATAGAGAGCAAGCATGCATTGTCAACGGTGCAATGTCATCACCTAAAACGATTGTGTGCGGAGTTCCGCAGGGATCAATTCTTGGTCCCTTGCTGTTTTTATTATATATTAATGATTTACCCGAATGCCTCGAAAAAACTTCGCCACACCTATACGCTGATGATACTCAAATTTCTACTTCTGCCAAAACTATTGAGGAACTTACTGAAAATCTAAATAATGACCTGAAAAAAGTCGGTGAGTGGCTTGCTCGAAATAAACTGCAACACCACCCAACTAAGACCAAATTAATGTATATCGGTTCAAAGTATAATACTGATACTATGACTTATGATATTCCAGTAATGATGAATAACCAATTCATAACTCTTGCTCATTCATACACATGCCTTGGGGTTAAACTTGATGAAAACCTTAATTGGCATGAGCATGTTGAAATGATTTGTAAGAAAGTTGGGGCCGGCATAGGAGCAATGCAACGAATTAAGCCATATGTTCCTATAAATACCCTGCATACCATTTACAGAGCTTTGATAGAACCGTATTTTGATTATTGTAGTCCATTATGGGACGTCTGTAACCAACAGCTGAAAGATAAGCTTCAAAAGTTCCAAAACCGTGCAGCGAGAATTATAACCGGCGCCAGCTATGAAATAAGGTCTGCTGATGTTCTTCGATCCCTTGCTTTGGAAAATTTAAAGATAAGTTGACAACGTACAACTAAATCCACATTAATGCATGTATAAAGTCCTGAATGATTGCGCTGGGCCGAACTTGAAGGATGCTCTAACGAGAAGGGACCTTGTTCAAACCAGTTATAATCTTCGCAATACTTATACTGACCTTACCCTTGCTAAGCCAAAACGAGAATTTCTAAAAAAAAGCTTTAAGTATAGCGGAGCTAAATTGTGGAATAGTCTTCCTTCTGATGCGAAGCTAGCGCAATCAATTTATTCTTTTAAAAACTGCCTGAAAGATTCACGCTAACATCTTCTAATATACTGTATATGCATGCTTTAGAAATATGGGTCACACCGTTTGGAACTTAATTCTTGTATTGTAAATAGTTGTATATAATTCTTTATTCTTTTCTATATCATATTTGTAATTTTTAATAGTAACAGACGTCCCTCGTGAAAATTAACAAATCGTTGACGAGGCTAACGTCTTTAAATAAAGTTTACATACATACATACATACATACATTTACAAAAGTCAGGGGCGCCCCATTAGTCGGAATATCATTAATATTTGACGCGTGGTAAAGTCTTTCCGAGCGCGCGCTCATTCGAAGTGTCATGTTGGAGCTTTGTCGAAAGATTCAATTTAAAGATATCTACGGAAAATTCGGAAATGTCTGCTGCTCCAAACTCCAGTCCTTGTAGTATTCACGAAACAGTTCAATCCGCATTTGCGGTGAATGATTTAGCTGTCTTACAAGACTGTTTCGCTGATCTTGGGAGGAAAATCATCACTAAATAAATATCGGAGAGTTCCATTCAGCGAGCAGTTGCTAAGCGGCGTAAGCGCCACGAATAGGACGAACTACAGTTTGACGATTTGAGTAGAAGTATTGGCGCCGATATCTTTATTCTGAAGTGCAATAAGGTAAATTTAATGTGATATGTAAATTTTATTTCGTTTTAGACAGCATAACAATATTTATAAGCGAACAAGATGCGCGCCATGCATATGTAAAATTGTAACTTGAATACGCGTATCTTGATTTAGATCTAGCTACGAATTTTGATTTACACAACAAATTTGCATATTTGTGATTCTGCGGTTGAAGGACCGTCAGAACTCGGAAGGCTATTAATATGGAGGATAACCTATATAAAAGCATTAATGCAGTATACATAGGATATAAAGGTCAGGTTTCATAGATGATTAATATTGATATATGTTTATTTGAGTAATATGACACTGCAGTGATTACTAGTCAAGTGATCAATGACTCAACAAGGCTATTAGGCAACAAAAATGAGCGTAGTACTATCATGAGAGAGTTTAGGTTTTGGTCGAGGTTCGAGTGTCGAGTGTCCAATGTCGAGGGTGAGGGTAAAAAGTCGAGGGTGAGGGTAAAAAGTCGAGGGTCATAAAAAAAGTCGAGGGTCATAAAAAAAGTCGAGGGTCATAAAAAAAGTCGAGGGTCGAAATTTGCGGGCAAAATAACTTGTTTAATGTTGTGACATGGACTTATCATATATATGTATGCAGAACTACATTAACTTTTAAAAGATACTACCTTGCGTAAATTTTCTAAGCTATTATTTTCTAAGCCCCTTCACGCTCGCAAGTTAACATGTTTATGTCTAATATGAGAACGGTCTCTTTGCTTTCTTATCAAACTAACGTAACAGCATAGATTATCGGGCAGCTGAAATCCTCAAGCCAGTAATGGCAATACATTAAGGCAAAATATATTACCAATAGCAAGTTATAATAAAAAAAAACTTGTGTGGTTTTCTGCTAGGTCGGAGCGCGGTTAGCGCGGTGCAGACATGCCACTGTTTCAACTAGAAACCAATTAACGCTAAGTGATTCAGTCAATATTACTCGTCTCAAAGCCAAACATTGTCATTGACCAACCTCGCAAGCACACCTGCGGCGGGACGGAGACCTTTGCTTGATGCGAGGTTGAACATTGCCATTGGCCTGTTTATGAAATTATACTACGTTTAGAAACTCTTTTAAGACTTTTAAGTTAATATTGATATTAAATGCTCTTTGACTTTGCTTTTAATGAAAAAAATCCGCCTTTTTATCTAAAAATGCCTTAATCAAAATTGGCCTGGAGACATTACACGCTAGAAGACATGCTGCGTGCGTGAAACTTTTTAACTAGACGACTCAAACCATCGACTTAATGAGTTAGTTTCTAGACCAGAATTCTCCCTTAATTCATGATTTACATAAGGAGAAACACCGTTTTAAAAACTCTTTTATCGTTAGTAGTTGTCTTAGTTGTCGTAAAAATACAACCGTCGACTTTTTTTACGACCCTCGACTTTTTACCCTCACCCTCGACTTTTTACCCTCACCCTCGACTTTTTACCCTCACCCTCGACTTTTTACCCTCAACCTCGACATTGGACCCTCGACACTCGACCCTCGACAAAAACCTAAGCTCATCATGAGATAGTTAAACATAATACTAGCAACCCGTAATTTGATAAAATGAAACATCTTCCACAATTATCACATTTCTGCAAGTACTTTTCCCTAAGGAGCGAGTTGTGAGAGTCAGACTGATAGTTGCTATAATTATCTTCCATTTCATGAAGTTAATTTTTTGTTGAAGCTGCTTCCAGAGTGATGCAAATTGCGTTTCTGAGGTTTAAAAATATAAAAATTCCTGGGGGACAGACCCCCCTGGGTGCCTCGCGCATTCGCAGCTCGCAAAACTGGATTGTACATCCGAAAACTTTGACTAACGTACGAAAAATCCTGGATCCGATCCTGGTCATAAGCTGTTACACATCATCACAATATTTAGGTACGATATGATATGTAAATGATTTCTAACATTCACATTAACATTCACGTTTCGTGTAACATAGCCTTCAGTGCAGAAAATAAGATGGGACGTAATTAAACAGACAAATTTATCTCTTCTTTTAAAAAATGGATTAATACGTCACTAAATGCTAATTATATACAAACATAAACGTAAAGAGAATGCATTAACGTCTTAATCCTTCACTGACCCAACAGAGTAAAAACTTGACTAACACTAAGAGGGATTTGGTTATTAGAGTTCATTGCAAAGGTTGATTTCTCTCTTTCTCTAAAAATATCATTGCACTTCTCTGGACTTTATATAAATCCAAATTGTACGTGTATATTGGACGAAAAGTAACAGATTTAGGCAGACTAAAAGTTTAAATTCACGTAAAGCGTCACACAGCACTTTTCCTTTCCCAACAACATACATATAACCAAAGTATCAAACACAGAGGTACCGGTACCACACAAAAGGATTGCAGGTGAGACTGTCGCTTCACATCACCAGTTCCCTACAAAATATATTGCATTTATTAATCAGTGCATAGTATTCACAATTATAAATATTAATTCTGATACCATTCTTACTAGAACTGTTAATTACACTACTCAACTTTTGCTTTGAAACCTTGAATATATACTGACAATTATTTACCACAATGGCAGGGAGGTTTAAAATTAATTCTCTTTTTACGTTGAATCAAACTTGAATACACAAATGACACTTGCTCTAGGCCTGGGGTCAGACATAGTAAATTGAATTTAATCAAACTAAACCACACCCCTGCATACAGTTACTAAAAAATGGACAATTTTTCAAATTAAAGCACTACTGTATACAGGCAATTGTATGGATAACAAAGCTGAATGCTACAAACTAGGAACATGTTATAGTTCAAGAAATTATTTACAGGTGGCTTCAAACAGTTATAATTTAATGTTTCGACAGCCACTTGTGTGTTGAATTATTAAAGAGTTAAGACCATCACATCTTGGTACCATTAATGCTAATAGTATGGTACAGTATGATTCAATTGGTTCACAATGGCATTGCAGAGCTCTCCCCTTGACAAGTAAATCATATGTCGTTAGAGAGTAAAATAATAAAGCAGAGCGCAATCGGTTTCAATGGGTTAACCAACATCAAAAAGAAAAATATTAGTAAAACTTACATGAATCGCAAAAAAAGCTTGCCTGTCTTGTTGTGGCGGGTCTGTCTTGTTGTGGTGGGTCTGTCTTGTTGTTGTGGTGGGTCTGTCTGTCTCCCAGTGCATGTGGAAGGGAAGCCATTATACTTCTGAGAGTTAACTATAAAAGGGTACAAATGGTGCATATATTTAATTAAATAAGAAAATTGAATACCAAGAATATACAGTCATCTCATAGACGTATATCCAACACTCTCTCCTTAACATGTAATTAAGTAAAGTTGTAAACTTGGCATTTTAAAACAAAGAAACATTATTTATTGATAACAGATAACTAGGAATGCAATGGATATCATATCTGGCCAGATACTGAGTTTTTACTTCATTCTATGGTAGACCTGGCCGCCCAATGCTGGATATTATTTATACAAGGTTCAGGCCTTCTTTACAAGTTAGAAAATGATTTGATTAGGTTAAAAAAGGTGGGAGTGTTTATCATATTTTTATCCAATGATTGATCATAGGAATGCTTACACTATTTTCAAATTTTTGTAAATGCAGGGTTTGCCCTTCGAACTAATGCAAGTGAGGCTTTTACTACCAATGATGCACGTTTATCAGTATTAGATTGTGAAATTCATTCCTATTATTTCAAATCAAAGTATTATTAACACCATCAGTTTTTAACCAATTAAAATGATTACTTAACCCTAAATGAGGCCTGGACCTTATATATTTGAATAAGGGGCCGATTACATGGACCGGACAGCTGAGCGAGATGACTTTTAAGTTACAATTACATGTAGTGTGCCTGCCCGGTTAACTGGGCTGAAGTAAGCTCATTATATTGAAAAGTTTTAATACTTGAACAATCGTTGCTGGATATTATAACTAAAGAGTGTTTATATGCGGAATTTTAGGGCTTCCCTACATTGTGATTAGTATTCGTTCATGTAATAATGTTAGGTATTGTTTCGCTTATGCTCCACTAAATCCAGTCGATTCACTATCTAAAACGTTTAAGGGTTTATTTAGTGCTCAAAAGCAGTACTTTAATGCAAATTTGTGGTTTTTGTGCTATTATTTGCTAATAATTTCATAATAAAAACCATGTCATGTTTGCAATTTTCAGCCCGGTATGCTCGGCTGAAGCAATTACATAGCGAATTTCAGCCCGGCCAGCTCAGTTGCGACAGCCAGGATTCCTGGCAAAGCAGGCTGGCCCGGGTGCCATGTAATTGAAACTCAAAATTTATATGAGATTATTATAGTAATCGGGCTAGCCAGGTTTGCCTGGTCTATGTAATCGGCTCCTCATAACCGGAATCTGGCTGGATATTTTTCAACTATTCAACATATATCCTGTATCTGGCTGGATAGCAAAACGACTCTATCCTGCACATCCCTACAAAGAACTTGAAGTGGGTAACATAAAAGAAAATTGCTTCGTAGGTAATAAAAGGTGATGGAGTGAAAATTCCATCTTTAAAAATATGCCTGAAACATGAGAAGGGACTGGCTAGACACTTCCCTTGATGAATAAAATTGTCCAGCATCAGGCAAGTCTATGTTATTCAACAATGTGCTGAAAATTGTGCTCATTGGAGTCAAATTTGTATTTAAAACAAAAAACATCAGCACCTTTGCTATGAAAGTAGCAGTTGATTTGAAACAAGTTGATAAATTCTCTCAAAGCATGTTTGTTTAAGGATTGGGTAGGCATCTATATTATTTTATTACATACAAGAAACACTGGAATCTGGCAATTTGTCAGATACACAAAGTTCTACACTATTTGGCATTTACAATAAATATAATATGATTTAAAGGCTGTTCAAATATTGGCCTTTGTATAAAACTAATGTATTTATATTTTATATCATCGTTTTAATTCAAATATTGTCGCGGCAAATATTCAAATTTTAAGCCGGAACACACGCTCGAACTTCACGAATGAAGATCGTAAATATTTCCTTTCTAAATTGCTCTATTATGTATAGAACATAACAATATTCTTACCTGAATATTACTCAGTCATCCTTGATGTTTCATATTCTTTAAAATGTATTAACTTCGCTTAAAAAGCGAATGTTTGTAGGCGATAAAAATGAAAATATGTATTTCAAAAATATGGCGGCGTCAGTCTGATGACGCTATCCCAGCAAGTTTTGCGCGTGCGGCAGGAAATCTAGGCACCAGTCTGTCAAACTGCGCTGATCGTGAGAATTTTCGCCATATGCCTCCACAAACAAACACTGTATGACCGACTATAATATAGTTTCCATGAACTGATGGAGAATTTAAAATTAACTCAATCAAAACGTTGGTATCGAAATTGAGGAGACCGGATTTCACACTAGAGTGATTAGACTTACTAGAGACACCTTAGTCTCAAACACGTCGGCTAATATTTCGTCTTGTTCTGTTGTTTATACAATTATTCTAATAATTAGTATAGTCTTTATTAAATAAATGCCTGAAGAAGGAATATCTTCAAAGAACTGACAACATTTTACATATTGTCTTTTCTCGTGTATTGTCTTGTCTCCTTGTCCGAGAAGGGTCAAATTGGCCCCTTCGAAGAGTAATGTTACTCTCATGTGGAGTCGCAAGATTCCCGCGAAGAGTTATTTTGACCCTTCAGTGGAGTCAAAGCTACCCTTGGAGTTGAAACGACCCTTTCGAGGAGTAGAAACTACCCTTTTACCAAAGGGACGGAAATAACCCCTAGGGGTCAAAACTACTCTTCTAAATTTACAGTGTATATATATATATATATATATATATATATATATATATATATATATATATATATATATATATATATATATATATATATATATATATATATATATATATATATATATATATATATATATATATGGTGTTCAAAATGAAAAAAATTAAAAATAAAAAATTTTAAAAAATTTTAATGTGCTGCTACTTAAGTTTCACGTATACCGATCGTCAGACAGCAATAGATTATGGTGCACACGAGCTTTATATACTAAGCTACCGTGCTAATTACATATTAAGTTCAGTCTAAATAAAACCTATTGGGACCTATGCGAGTGTTCAACTAAACTGATTTAAAATTTAAAACTTAGTAAATTAATACAAAACCTACTTAAAGTCTATACTTTGTTGTTAAAACCTCTCGAGCAAATAATTTATGTTATCTCGTTCTTATAGTTTTGTATGTAAAATTTGTTTTCATGTCTACACTTGGAGATAAGTTCGTCTCGTGTGTTCAAGAGGCGTGCGTTTAGTCCTTTCAAGATGGCTAGCTTTTCACAGAGGCATAATCCACATTTGTTGGATCCGTTCTTGTAAGCCTTTGCTGTGTCAATGCTTGACCAACAGCATGCCTCTGTGAAAAGCTAGCCATCTTGAAAGGACGAAACGCACGCCTCTTGAACACACGAGACGAACTTATCTCCAAGTGTGGACATGAAAACAAATTTTACATACAAAACTATAAGAACGAGATAACATAAATTATTTGCTCGAGAGGTTTTAACAACAAAGTATAGACTTTAAGTAGGTTTTGTATTAATTTACTAAGTTTTAAATTTTAAATCAGTTTAGTTGAACACTCGCATAGGTCCCAATAGGTTTTATTTAGACTGAACTTAATATGTAATTAGCACGGTAGCTTAGTATATAAAGCTCGTGTGCACCATAATCTATTGCTGTCTGACGATCGGTATACGTGAAACTTAAGTAGCAGCACATTAAAATTTTTTAAAATTTTTTATTTTTAATTTTTTTCATTTTGAACACCATATATATATATATATATATATATATATATATATATATATATATATATATATATATATATATATATATATATATAATATATATATATATATATATACATATATATAGACTCCTAACACAGACACCAAAACAAGAAGTTCTTTTGGTCTAATGTTCTTTTACTAAAACTGTAAACAGTTTTATATTGTAGGCAACAAGCTCAAAACTACATTTGGTGTCATTATTGTATTTACAAAACAAATAGTTTTTATGCTATTAAAAGCTGTCTTATTTTAATAGTCTTGTACTATTCTGTTTATATGAAGTATGTTATAGTGTACAAATATACGATGTGTGTTTCATACTTAGACTTACTTATGGAAGGACAAGCGAATACCATCTTTTAAATCCCCACATCTGGCCTTGCAGTTACACTCAGCACACAAAACAGGCCGAGATTCAAGGCATTCTTTTCGATAGAAAAACAGATTTTTTAGAATAGAATGCCCTAGAATTTTCAGATGAAAATACTGTATTTTCGTCGAAATAACAATGAAAGAACAAAATAAATAATAGTAACTTTTGGAATAATCAGATATATGTTACATTACTTTAGAAAACCTGGTAAAAGACTGAAGGAATACACAGGATAAGAAACCAGGCCGGCAGTTTCGCGCCATTTTCGTCTTTGCCCATTCTTGCCCGGTTGAATTTTAAACTGTAAATCGTACTAATTATAACAAATATACATCCAAAACTTTCACACCAGTTAGTTCTTCCAAAAAAAGGTGGTTCAACGGGATCGGAAAGAGTAGGACGACGTAAAATGCAAAAAACATGGTTTTTCCCTATCTCGCTCTATGATTTTTGACCGGTTGAGCCGCCATCTTGGATTTTCAAATTTGGCGCGCCTCTTCAGCCGAGTCAGCAATCTAGGTCTCCT